ACGGAGCTGCCAGGGAGAGCAGGAAACCTCTGCGCCTCCGGGAAAGCACCGCGGCGTCTTCCCTTCTATGGATCTGGAGGACTCGGCGCGGCGCTCGGCCCCGGGACCGCTCTGCCCTGCGAAACCCGGCACGTCCCGGCGTCGTGAGCGGCCCAGGGAGGGTTCCCGGTGCCTGCAGCTCATCTGGACCTCAAAACCTCAGGGTCTTCTCAGGCGTTATTAAAAGGAAATGGGAATTCGATACCTGCATCCCTCCCTGTTCAACTCGCCCCGCGCAGGGAGCAGGTTTGCCCATCGCTTCAGCTCCTTCCACCACCCCAGGAAGCAAAGGGACGGCGCCGAGCCCAGCACAAAAGGCCTCCTCAGCCTCCTCCGCCGGTGCAGGGGTCCCTGGAGGCCTCGAGGCCAAAGCCCGAGGTGTCAGAGGACGGCGTAAGCAGCAGAGTCCAAAGCAACGGGCAGCCTGGGGCTCACGTGCGGGCACAGAGCCAGCCAGTCCCCAACACAGGATTAGGAGGATGGGGCAGGATGGGGCACAGCTCACCCTGCTCGCTCCCGCAGCCTTTGCCTGTGCCCAGGAGCGCCTCCATCTCCGCTCCCACCGGGACCAGGCGCGCTCCGCACTACGGGGCTTGCTGGGAGCGGGAAGGGGCCAAGGAAGATTATCCCAGATAACGGGATCCAACTCAAACGTGACTACAGGGATGCAGAAGCGTAGGCACAAGCACACACACCCAAATGCCTTCCCTAAGGCTGAAAGTGACTGTGCCCTTCCTGCCTCTGGGAGCAATTAAAAGGGTGTTGGAATGAATCTGATGCCCAAGGGCTCTTGTCCTCTTGGACGAGCTTCATCACCAAGCACGAGGCAACAGCCAGAATGGGGATAAAAATAACTGAACTATGAAGGTGCCCCAAGCTGGCGCTTCCAGGGTGCCTTTGGGAAGAAGCAGCTGGTCCAAACCAGAACACCCAGCAGGCGCAGAGCACTCACTGCAGGGTTTTGTGTTGCTTTAATGTTTCAGCATGAAAACTTCTGGATTCACGTTTGAAGAGCCTCCTCATAGCAGAAGTTATCTCCTGATTTTAAAAGTTGCTTTAACTGTACCCAAATTCTTAGAATGAAGTATTTTAAAGGCCTGGAGCAAAGCTATCCGTGTCCAAGTAACCAAGATTTCCATGAGAGCCACCTCGAAGCCGGCGCGGGGCCAGGAGAGCTCGTGCGCGCGCCGAGCCCGCAGGCAGGCGCAGGGGCACATGCAGCCGGGGCTCTCGTGTTTTGCATGAGGTTGTTTTTACCGTATTTTTCTTCCTCCTTTCCTGTTTAACAACCACATTGGGCAACTGAACTATGCGACATTATCATCAGAGAACGAAATCACAAAGAGACGGGAAATGAGCAATTAAATCCCGGCTCTGCTCCTAGGTAAGGAGTTTTGCTTTGTGAGAAGTTGAGGATTTGGCCACTAACGCCGCTCTCGACGTGGAACATGGCCTGGCTCTGCTGGGTCTAGCTCCCGGCGCCTGCTCCTGCTTTTTTTCCCACAACAGTTGTGATACAAAATGAGCATCGCCTCCCGTGCAGTTAAATCTGTACCATGGCTTGCAAGCTGCTAACGCCGCCGAGAAGTCTTGAGTTTTGCATTCTGACCTTTCCCTTGCTCCTGATGCTACATATAGTTCCTATATCTTCAGAATATATTTATCCCAGTGCTGGAAGCTTTCCAAGCCCTGATCCCCCAGGAAGGCATCTTGGCATCTCTCGGAATGGGAATGCGGATTGAAGGGCAGTCCCACCAGAGTGGGCAGGGCGCAGATGGGGGGACGGGATGGGGGTACTGGGGCCCCGGCGCACGGCACCTGCCCCAGCACATCCCCTCATTCCAGCTCCATGTGGAGCGAGGCCGGCGGGGGCGCGCGGAGGGCCCGGGATGCTGCC